CTCCGTCTCAAAAAAAAAAAAAAAAAAAAAAGAAAAAAAAAAAAAAAGCCAAAACCAAAAAAAAAAAAAAAAATTAAAAAAAAAACCTGATCTGACCATGTCACAGCCCTGTCAATGACACCCCTCTCTTCTAGGATAAACTCCCAAACCTTCCTGGAACCTGTGGGGCTCCAGGCTCTTTTCACACCATGTTCCCTGATACCCAGCCACAGTGACCTTTTCCCTGATCCCCTCCTGGGGCTCCTGATCCCCCCAGGCTTCCTCTGCAGGCCACAGGGCTTTGGGGCATGCTGCTTGCCCTGTCTGAAATGCTTTTCCCACTTCTCTTCACCCATGTAATGCCTCTTATCCTTTCAATATCTGCTCAGCTGTGGCTTCCTCAGAACAGCCTTGCCCTGACTCCTAAGCCAGGCAAGCCTTCCCACTGTTGTATGCACTCCTGGCATCAGGAGCACCTCTTCGGCTGGACTTATGAACACTTGGAATTTTATGTTTATGTGATTACTTCATTTAATGCCTGGCTCACCCACTAGAGGATTGTAGGATGAGGAGTATGTTTTTGTGCATCACTGACTCCACAGGGCAGTACCTGGTACATGGGAGGCCTTTGATAAATATTTGAGAGATGCTTAAACTAGTCAGCAGTCTCAGGCTCGACAAGGAGGGAATTTTCACCAAAAACCAAGTGGTACCTGCTCAAGATCTGAGTCCCTTCATCATGTCACTTACCTGCTCAAGAACTTTCCATGACTTCCTATGCCCTCAGATTTCTTAGATTTTCCAAATTTATTTTCCTCATTTTATTTTTTAGAAATAGGATCTCAGGCCAGGTGCAGTGGCTCATGCCTATAATCCCAGCACTTTGGGAGGCCGAGGTGGGTGGATCACGAGGTCAGGAGTTTGAGACCAGCCTGGCCAATACGGTGAAACCCCGTCTCTACTAAAAATACGAAAAATTGGCCAGGTGTGGTGGAGTGTGACTGTAGTCCCAGCTACTCGGGAGGCTGAGGCAGAAGAATTGCTTGAACGGGAAGCGGAGGTTGCGGTGAGCTGCCACTGCACTCCAGCCTAGGCGATGGAGAGAGACTCTGTCTAAAAAAAGAAAGAAAGAAAGAAAGAAATGGGGTCTCACTATGTTCCTCAGGATGGTCTCGAACTCCTAGGCTCAAGTGATCCTCCTGGCTTGACCTCCCAAAATGTTGGGATTACAGGCATGAGCCACCACGCCTGGCAATTTCCTTTATCTTCTATCACTATCCTTTGCTTCCACCAAGCAAACTCATTAGCCCTTAAAAATACCTTGGTTAGTCTGAGCTTCATGTCATTTTCTTTGCCGGCAACAACTCTGATTTCCTCTTTATTTTCACTTAAATTCTACTTATTCTTTAAGACCAAAATCATGTCCCACAAAGCCTTCCCTGTCCATTCTAGCACTTGCTGAGCTCCTATGACCTGTACTGTCTGTACATCCAGAATATCAGAGATTGTGAACCTTGGAAGGGTCTCAGAGATCACTGGCAACAAGAGTCTGAACAACCTCTAAATTCATGTTTTCCAGACTTTCCAAATTCAAGTACCAGCTTCACAATTTGTGCCAAATCCATATTCCACCTAAAATGTTATTTACTTGATATTCTTTAAAATCAACTTATTTTATTTCTTACTCAATCATATATTATTTTTTCCTTCTTTTTTTATCCTTCTTCATGACGGGGTTTCGCTCTTGTTACCCAGGCTGGAGTGCAATGGCGCGACCTCGGCTCACCGCAACCTCCGCCTCCTGGGTTCAGGCAATTCTCCTGCCTCAGCCTCCTGAGTAGCTGGGATTACAGGCATGCGCCACCATGCCCAGCTAATTTTTGTATTTTCAGTAGAGACGGGGTTTCACCATGTTGACCAGGATGGTCTCGATCTCTTGACCTTGTGATCCACCCGCCTCAGCCTCCCAAAGTGCTGGGATTACAAGCGTGAGCCACCGCGCCCGGCCTCATATATTATTTTTTCAAAAAAGCCTTCCAGCACTATAGTAACTGCAGAACCACCCATTACTTGCCAAAATCAAAAGTAATTATAAAAATAAGTAAAACAATAACAATGTGTTTCAATTCTAGTTGGCCACCATCGCCTGCTGAAAGCTCTTGCAGTTGAGTCTTCCTCTCTGTTAAAAACGAAAAGAAGAGAAATATATGTTAGGCGTTAAAGACACACCAGCTCCAAACTGAGACATTCTCTTGGAGGAAACTGGAAGAATCAAAATACCCAAATGCCCATTGATGGGAAAGATATGTTTTTATTATTATAAAATGTACATAATATAAACTTTTACCATTTTAACCACTTTGAAGCATACAGTTCAGTAGCATTCACTGCATTCACATTGTTGTGCAGACATCACCATCATCCATCTCCAGAACTCTTCCCAAACTGAAACTCTGTACACATCAAATGATAATCCCCTTTCCTCTCCCCACCCCAGCTCCTGACAACCACAATCCTACTCTTATCTCTATGCGTTTAACTATTCTAGGTACCTGATATAAGTGGAAGCATATGATATTTATCCTTTTGTGACCAGCTTATTTCACTTACCTTAATGTCCTCAAGGTTCATCCATGTTGCAGCATGTGTCAGAGTTTAAGGCATTCCATTGCATGTGTATATACTACATTTTGTTTGATTTCTTTCTTTCTTTTTTTTTTTTTTTTTGCTTTTTTTCAAGACAGGGTCTCACTCTGTTGCCCAGGCTGGGATGCAGTGGCACGATCTTGGCTCACGGTAGCCCTCACCTCCCAGGCTCAAGTGATTCCTGTGCCTCAGCCTCCCAAGTAGCCAGTACTATAGGCGCATGCCACCACACCTGGCTAATTTTTTGTATTTTTGGTAGAGACAGGGTTTCATCATGTTTCTCAGGCTGGTCTTGAACTCCTGGGCTCAAAGGATCTTCCTGCGTTGGCCTCCCAAAGTGTTGGGATTACAGGTGTGATCCACTTCGCCTGGCTATTTTGTTTACTCATCTCTTGCTAGGCACTTAGATTGCTTCCAGCTTTTGGTTAGTGTGAATAATGCTGCTATGCTCATGAGTGTAAGAAAAGTGATATCTTTACATAACCTGACACACAATGGAATATTTATTTATTTATTTATTTATTTTTATTTATTTATTTTTGAGATGGAGTCTTGCTCTGTCACCTAGGCTGGAGTGCAATGGCACAATCTTGGCTCACTGCAACCTCCGCCTCCAGGGTTTTAGCGATTCTCCTGGCTCAGCCTCCCGAGTAGCTGGGATTACAGGTGTATGCCCCAACCCCTGGCTAATTTTTTGTATTTTTAGTAGAGACGGGGTTTCACCATATTGACCAGGCTAGTCTAGAACTCCTGACCTCGTGATCTGCCCACCTTGGCCTTCCAAAGGGCTGGGATTACAGGCATGAGCCACCACGCCCGGCCAATCGCAATGGAATATTATACTGTAGTCAAAACAAAGGAACTTAAGTGACATGCAACAGTATGGATGACTCTTAGCAATATAATATTATGTGAAAGAGCAAGTCAAAAAAAAGTTATATATAGCCTGATACTATTTTTTAGTAAAGTTAGGAACAGTTAAAATTTAAAATAAACTTTTAAGGAATAAATAAATAAATAAATGCACTATAAAACTATTGAAAGGAAACCAAGGGAATGTTGACTATGGGATTCAGGGTTGTCAGTTGCCTGAGGTTGGAGGCAGAGAATGGGATGGGGTACCATTTGGTTAGTTGTCAGTTATTGTCAAGGTCTGAGATTTTGTTTTGGGTGACAAAGTCATGGGATGCTTATGATAATTTCAAAACAACTAATTAAAAGAAAACCTAGTCCTTGCATAGTCGTTCACGCCTGTAATCCCAGCACTTTGGGAGGCTGAGGTGGGTGGATCATCTGAGGTCGGGAATTGGAGACTAGCCTGACCAACATGGAGAAACCCCGTCTCTACTAAAAATACAAAATTAGCAGAGTGTGGTGGGGCATAGCTGTAATTTCAGCTCCTTGGGAGGCTGAGGCAGGAGAATCACTTGAACCTGGGAGGCAGAGGTTGCAGTGAGCCGAGATCACGCCATTGTACTCCAGCCTAGGCAACAAGAGTGAAATCCCATCTCAAAAAAAATAAAGAAGGCCGGGTGTGGTAGTTTACACCTGCAATCCCAGCACTATGGGAGGCCGAGGCAGGCAGATCACAAGGTCAGCAGTT